ACAAATCGAAAAAGTGGCGCCAGGCTATCGCCGTACTGATCCGAGTGAAAACATAATTTCTATAAAAACTTGAAAAAACTCCGTCATAAGGTCTAAAATTGCGTAGCACCCGAGACGAATAAAACCGCTTAGAAATTGTCAGAATCTTAAAATATTTTTTTTAAATTATTGATTTAAGTAATCAAAATAATGAGCAAGCAAATTATGAATATTGATGTTATGAATATACTTGAGTGATTCCCAAGGATATAGATTAAGTAATTTTGTTGTAATTTCAACTATAGTGATTTTTAGAGGTGTTTTCGCAAATAATTATGATCGAGTCAAAATTATACAATCGTGTTTTTGAACAATCAAATTCAAGATAAAGACATGAATTTACCTATATCAAAATTCCTCTTTCGTTGGTCATGTCATAGTACTATATTATTCGATGAAAGGAGGTGCATTTTTTCGCGGTGTCGCCTTAAATGCGACTCCAGTGTAGAGATGCATTTAGCATTTGGTTGCGACGTTGTGGGCCGTTTGTTCGATTTCCATGCGAAACAAATATTTGTATGTTGACTTACATAAAAATCTCTAAACGCTACGTATATTTCCACTAATGCCGAAAGCAAGCCAATCAATCCATGCTTTATTTATTGTAACAACTTGCGCTCAGACACACGTTTTCTACGTGTTACACAGTCCACTTGATGGTAAGTGGATGCTGTGGCCCATAGACTATCTACATTTATCCTCGATTAATAATCAAAACGCAGATGCGTTGTCACCCTTGAAGACTAAGATAGAATGCCTCGTTTCCAGTAAAAAAAGGTCTCCGGATCTCTACACTCATCATACGAAACACAGCAGTAATAGGCTGCTATTTTACGCTGGTATTCTGTGGGAGCGCGGTCCTTCCCCGGTTGAGGCGACCCATTCGTGCAACAACCATAATATACGTAAATGCAGCGTGGCTCTACCACGTATAAAAATTTAAAAATTATTTTTTGTTACAACGCGCACAAATACCTGCATCTAAAATTCCAAAATCATTTGCAACCAACTCCTTTTTTAATTACTTATGTGTGCGTAAGTGCGTGTTTAGAAAATTAGTATGGTTTCAGCACCACTTGAAATGTAACGCAGAGCTCCGTCTATCTTTTTTTAAAACTTTTTATTGTATCTCCTCGCGCTCAGACACACGTGCATCTAGTCATTTGCAACCAACAAAATGGTTTTAGGTACTCATGTGTGCGTAAGTGCGTGTTTAGAAATTAAGTATGGTTTCAGAGCCACTTGTAAGGTAACGCAGAGCTCCGTCTATCTTTTTTTAAAACTTTTTATTGTATCTCCTCGCACTCAGACACACGTGATTCTAGTAATTTGCAACCAACAAAATGGTTTTAGGTAGGTACTCATGTGTGCGTAAGTGCGTGTTTAGAAATTAAGTATGGTTTCAGCTCCACTTGAAATGTAACGCAGAGCTCCGTCTATCTTTTTTTAAAACTTTTTATTGTATCTCCTCGCACTCAGACACACGTGATTCTAGTAATTTGCAACCAACAAAATGGTTTTAGGTAGGTACTCATGTGTGCGTAAGTGCGTGTTTAGAAATTAAGTATGGTTTCAGCGCCACTTGTAATGTAACGCAGAGCTCCGTCTATCTTTTTTTAAAACTTTTTATTGTATCTCCTCGCGCTCAGATACACGTGCTTCTAGTCATTTGCAACCAACAAAATGGTTTTAGGTAACTCATGTGTGCGTAAGTGCGTGTTTAGAAATTAAGTATGGTTTCAGCGCCACTTGTAACGTAACGCAGAGCTCCGTCTATCTTTTTTTAAAACTTTTTATTGTATCTCCTCGCACTCAGACACACGTGATTCTAGTAATTTGCAACCAACAAAATGGTTTTAGGTAGGTACTCATGTGTGCGTAAGTGCGTGTTTAGAAATTAAGTATGGTTTCAGCGCCACTTGTAATGTAACGCAGAGCTCCGGCTATCTTTTTTTTTAAACTTTTTATTGTATCTCCTCGCGCTCATACACACGTGCATCTAAAGTCATTTGCAACCAACAAAATGGTTTTAGGTACGTATGTGTGCGTAAGTGCGTGTTTAGAAATTAAGTATGGTTTCAGCACCACTGGAAATGTAACGCTGAGCTACGTCTATCTTTTTTTTTTTTAATCTTTTTTATTGTATCTCAGATTAATTACAGTTATTAATAGCTTTATATTTCAAAAGCCCCATAGTTTAGTTAGTGAAACTCATAGCACCACCTTACCGGAAAGGGCAGAACAACGTATACCCAGCTAGTCTTTATATATAAAATTCTTCCGTCCGTGTGTATGTGACTGAACTCCTCCTAAACTACTGAACTGATTTTGATGAAATTTTGTGTGTGTGATTAAGTTGAGACGAGTTCAGAGTCACGGTTGTAGCTGGCAGGGGGCGCTGTTGTCGAGATTCAGAAATCACCCGTGCGAAGCCGGACGGATCGCTAGTATCTTCTTGATTGCATTTAAAGTTTAGAACCAAAATTTTTTTTTGTAATCATTGTCATCTCTTTCCATTTCTCGCTTCGCTTTGCTTGGTCATTGAACTTGAAGCTTTCCGATGTACCTACTATAGATAGAACGGCGCAACGAAACGCTTGATCGCGAATTATTGTTGACAAAAACACATTAGCTTGGGGAATACTTCCCGCAAAAATGGAATTGAATTAGCCGTGAAATTATTCGTGGTCTCATAGTTTTGTTTTGTAAATTTGCATTTTGTTTCTGTAGAACGAGCGCTCCGGCTTCGCACGGGTGATTTCTCGATTACATATATATATATATATATATATATATATATATATATATATATATATATATATATATATAGCAACACTGGACAATGTAACGACTGTTTAGAAAATTAATTATTCACTAACTTTATGCTAAACTTAACTTTTATTTATGTTACAAAAACTATTAACTACTGTTATTTCTATGATCTGAGATCAAGATCGGTCGAGCCGTTTTGGAGTTTTAGCGATATAATACTAACGGATAGAAATAGATTTTTTATACCGGATGACCTTTTTTACAGTCTGGAAAAAAATAGGGTGTTACATACGAACGGAGAAGAAGCCTAAGGCACTGATATTTTACGAAAAATAAAAACAAAGAATTTGAATTAAATAAATAAATCAATTAAAATCTATCGAAATCCAAATCAAATCACAACCTACTTAACGAACGGGGCAATAAAACAATTTTAGTAGTCATCTTTGATCGTGTCACTTCACAGGGTCACAGGCTAAAGGGCAAAGAGAAAAGTAATAGTCCAAATAAAAAAAATTCAAACGTTTAATTCAAAATTTTTGTTTATATTTTTTTGTAAAATATCAGTGCCATAGGCTTTTACTCCGTTCACATATTACACCCTATTTTTTCCCAGACGGTAAAAAGGCCATTCAGTATACAGAGATAAGGGTGCCAATCGGGCATACAGTCCACCTGATGGTAAGTGGACATATGCCCATAGACATCTACATCTATTTTTGATTAGAGGTACTAACTCCGATACTGCCATGTATCGTATGGTAAGTGTTATCTACACTGCGGTACATGGCGGCAAACATGGCGGTATTTAGCTGCTATTTTGTGCTTTTATTGGTATATCCATAGTCCCTCAATGTTATGTTTGTTTATGCTTGTATTAGTATATGCATAGTCCCCGGTAGAATCAACCCATTCGATATATATAAACTATAATATAACGTAAGGTTCTGTAGACCGATTTTCGATCACGGCGGGCAGTCTCAACGGGACTAGCCATCTGCACGAGACTGGATTACTTATGCGCATGCGCAAGCACAGGTGCACTCTCTACTCCCTCACTCTCATGGTCCAATGGGACGGTAAACCGACACGGCCGATGAGAGATCAGGTGCCGGACCAAAGGATCTACGTGCTTCCCGACGGTGGTGAAATATCACTAATTTCCTGACTCCGGGCTGCTTCTGAGTATTGCTTGAAAGAAAAACTCGGTAACTGGTTTTTTTGGCACGAACCCGATACGTCAAGAATAGCAGTCGCGTGTACGACCACTGGACCAACAGGCAGTAACAACCATAATATAGCTGCAGCTCTACCACGTAAAAATACGGTCTGTAAAATTTGGAAGCATAATCTTTGTTTGTTTATCATTATTTAGGCTTTACACATTAAATGACGGTCATGAAACCATTTCGCAACTTAACGTTTGCTTTATAACCCCTTTACGTTAAGGGGATATTATAAGTCAACTCAAATTTTAATTTCGCCCTCACTTCCCCGCGGGTCGTATGCTATGTACCGACATGTTTGTTATCACTAATACCGTAAGTAGATAGGTCGTTAGATACTTATTTCATTAGGTTTACCATATTTATGGCTGTTTCTTAACGCCAACCCAGTCACTTCTTTCTATTTTGATCACGGTTATTTCCCATTTTAATTTTACGTCGTCCTGTTGCGTATTGTGTATTCTGATCGTAAGCGGCACAACTTCTCCCTTCAAAAGCCTAAGCGATACTAACAATAAGGGGCGACAGGAATCAAGCTTTAAGACGCCGATAGTTTAGGTAATTTCTTTTTACAGTGAAAATAATGGTATTTAAAAAAAAGTAAATAACATAAGCACTGCTTTATAGTTAGTTCAGTTAGTATGTAAAGTTTCATAATCTTAAAGTATTTTATGAATAACAGCGGTTTATTGTTGAGTTTGGAGGTAACTTTGGATTTTTTTCTATCGAGAAAATTTTACGGAATCGTGTTTTTGTCTAATAGTGGCACTTCACATGGCTATTTGGTATTTGTGATAGCATGTTGCCGTATTTGGCAAAAAAATTGACGTAAGGGCAAATAAACGATATAACCGTCCACACATGGAGCCAAATACCAAAAAATGAAACATGTTTGCCAGCGTAAAGTAGTTGTACCTATAAAATGGACGTTGCACTTTCAGCTGGATTTTATTATTTGAACGCATGTTACTATTACATGTTATGCGTAAAAAAATACAAAGTGATAAAAAAAGACCAAGAGCAAGGCGATGGTGGATGCTGACTGTGCATAAAAATCGAACCAAGTAAGTAATTTGTTTATTTCATTTGTAGAATGACTTTTGCATGACACGCAAATCATATTAACGAAAATTCCAATAAAATAAGAACCTAAATCTAATTAGTATATACAGAATAGAATAGAATAATTTTTTATTCAATATAGATCACATGTGTAATTCTTATTGAAAGTATTTTTTTTACTTTACCACTGGTTGGAAAAAAAACCCTCTGTCCTGAGAAGAACTAGCAAGAAATCCAGCAGGATTTTTTTAAAATAAATTTTACAATATAAATGGTTACAAACTATTTACAATTTATTTTAGAAACAGATTGCAAGCGACTACCTCGTTCCCAGGGTTTATTATCAACCATGTATTCATTTATATTAGCCCTTTTTATAGAGTTTTTCATTAATTAAATATTTAAACTTGGTAATAGCTATGGAGTGTAGAGTAGACACTCCATAGTAATAGCGTATACATTGCCCCAAGAACGGGTTACTGACTTTATGGACTCGAGATATAGGTCACTAGCTTGTGTTTGTTCCTAGTGTTTACAGAGTGTATATCACTTTTTACTAAAACTGTCTATGTTCTTGTGAACATACATAAAATTTTGGTAAATATACTGAGAGGCCAAAGTTAATATATTAATTTCTTTAAATTTATCTCTAAGAGACTCCTCGGTTTTAGGTTGTAAATACACAATAAAAGTTATTTATATTTCCAGGGAATCTATGGAGACAAGGTTTCAAGAAATGTTAGCAGAACCCTCTAACGAGTTTGATAATTTCTGCCGAATGTCTTATGCAGATTTTAATTTTTTGTTACAAAAAGTCCATCCCATAATTTCTAAAAAGGATACAAAATGGAGAGAAGCTATACCTGCAAAAGTTAGATTAGCGATTACTTTACGATTCCTTGCATCAGGAGACAGTTATAGAAGCCTTCACTATACCTTCAAGATATCAAGTCAAATAATCTCAAGAATTATAATGGAAGTGTGTGCTGCTTTATATCAGGTTCTAAAGGATCAAATCAAGGTAAACAACATATATAATTTTCATTAACTTTTATTAATCGTAATCAAATTATTTTTAAGTAGGTATTAAATATGCTATTAATTATTTTTCCCTCGAGGTATTTGCGATGGTGATGGTGTATACGACACCATTCTAGAAGTAGGATTCGGTAGATTCAAAGGAGTATCATTAGAGTATTCTGAGTATTCAACATGATATGCAGGAGAAGGAGCATCCATTTGCGGTGAAGATGACGTATACAAAACCTTTGTAGAATTTGGATAACTGTTAACACAATTAAGATATTCCACTTCTGTCGGAAATGCAACCTGTGGAGGAGATGCGATATTGCTTTGCGGTGGTGATGGTGTATACGATAACATTGTTGCATCAGAATTAGGTTGACTGGTAGCAGAATTCAGAGATGCCACATCTGTCGGATATGCAACCTTTGGCGAACTTGCAACCGCTGACGGAGATGCGATATTGATTTGGGGTGGTGATGGTGTGTATGATAGCATTGTTGCAGCAGAATTTGGGCGACTGGAAGAATAATTAGGCAAATTGAAGTTGTAGACGTGTTCATCGACAAATAGCTCATGTATTTTTGCCATCATGATGTCTCGGCGTTGTTCAGAAAGTTTTCGTAGCTTTCTAGCCACAAGTACCCCAAAGGTAGAGCATTCATCATCTTCATCCTTTAGCTGCAGCTGGGAATGTTGCTTCATAAAACTATATGCTTCATCCATTCGTTTTTTCGCTTCTATAAGTTCAGGTGGATTATTTTGTCTTCTTCTATGCAATATTGGTCTTGCTGTTGAACCCTGTTGTTCATTTGAATTTAATTCCTGTTGTTCTTGGCTTCTAATATTTTGATCTATAGGGCCCTGTTCTGTGTTTTGATCTTCATTAATCGTAAGTTCTTCATCCTGCAAGTATAAATAACATTAATATTTTTGTTACAGTTGCCCGTGGTAGAACAAGACTGGTTGGACATAGAAGGTGGCTTCCATCAACGTTTCCCGCACTGCATAGGTGCGATAGATGGAAAACATGTAGTGATACAGTCTCCAGTTAACAGTGGCTCAGAATATTACAACTACAAAAAATCTTTTAGCATCGTTTTATTAGCTTTGGTTGATAGTAATTACTGCTTTATGTATGCCGACGTGGGATGTCAAGGGAGGATAAGTGATGGAGGCGTTTTGAAAAACTCCGTTCTGTGGAATAAAATAAACAATAATACGTTGGGGCTACCAGCACCAATTCCACTACAAAATGGAAATGGTGACTTGCCATATGTATTCTTAGGTGATGGAGCATTTGCCTTACATAACAATATCATGAAACCATATCCAGGGAATCATCGAGAAGGCACCAAAGAAAGAATTTTCAACAAGAAGCTTTCATCAGCCCGTGTTATCGTTGAAAATGTATTTGGTGTTATGTCTGCTATATTTAGAGTGCTACGTTCGCCTATGCTACTTGAACCTGAATCAGCTAGCCAAGTAGTCATGGCGTGTGTAGTTCTACACAACTTTTTGAGAAGAAGTAGACTGTCTAGAAATGTATATAATCCACCTGGTACATTCGACCTGAATGATGGAGACGACTTAATAATACCAGGGTCATGGAGGGCCGATATTCCCAACAACCCAGCACTGCGTGATATTCGTAACATTCCTAGAAGATCTCCAAGGAATCCAGTCGAAATCAGAAACGACTTTGCTAATTACTTTTATAATACATGAAACTGATTGATCTGTAAACTTACCTATCTGTTTATTATTTGAAAATAAAATAAAATTATTATTATAAAATTTATAGGTAGTTATATTTTTTTTATAGATAATAATAATAATAATGTCCTCCAGACCGAATTTCGGCCACGGCGGCCAGCCTCAACGGAGACTAGCCATCTGCGCAGGACAGGATTATAGTGCCCAAGTGTATGCGCAAGCACAGGAGCACTCTCTATTCCCTCACTCTCATAGCCCGATGGGACGGTAAACCGACACGACCGGAGAGAGATCGGGCGTAGGACCAACGACTTTACGTGCTTTCCGAGGCACGGGGGTGAAACACCGCCAACTTCCTGACTCCAGGCAGATACTGAGAATTTCTTGATGGAAAAACTCAATAACTGATTTTTTTGGCCCGACCCGGGATTCGAACCCGGGACCTCATGATCAGCAGTCGCACTACTACAACCACTAGACAAACTACTTTGGAAATGATTACAGTAATACATACAGTGGTATTTTACTTTGTGTTTTTATCATCATACAACCAGTTTAAAATATCTTTCTTACTAGCTTAGCTAGCTTAGCATGTAAAGGTAATATTATAAATGGACATATTATCCCTTATTCATCTTGGCTTTAATCATATTTATTTAATTAGTGTAGTGGTGTTTGTGATGTATATTCACTAATTAATTAACTATGTAAAAATAGTCTCCACACCATGTTTGTTTGTCTGCTGTGCACCATTTTTTGCCAGACCTACTAAAAAGATTTTCCATCAATCTTAAAGTACCTATAAACGCTGAATGAACCTACAACTTTGTTTTATACTAATTTTAAGCTATTCTATTCTATAATATGTACTATTCTAACTCATAATATCGGTGAATACTACTAGAAAATAGTTTTTAGTTTGTTTATAGGTTATTGTGATATTCATATTTTTATTTTTAATTTTTCAGTATTCCCGTTAGATGCGGTAAAACTAATATTAATTTTGTAATTTATAGATGATAAGGAATAAATTGACATGCATTTCATTAATTGTAGCTAAAATTTGTGGTGGGCCCATTCTATATACAAAAAGAAATTGTCTTCTATAAATGTATTATTACTTACCACAGTGTTTATGGTACTGTTGCAGGTATAAACAGAATTCAAAAAACTATCCATGAATGCAAATGCAAACCAACTTGGTTGATACACATCGGATGCACCTGATCCGGATCGTTCGCTTTTCTTTATTTTGGTTTTGTAACCTCGGTACGCAGACATAAGCGACTCCTTCTTTTTTTTTTAAATCTTGCAGGGTACATGGTACACCCAAATTGTCTTTAATTGTATTCCACGCGTCGTTTACTCTTTGCCGGTTTTTATGCCCCTCGTTTCCAGGGTCCCAAATGCATGGGTTCATTTGGTAAAGTTCTAAAAACCTTACAACGGTTTCTTTGTCCCAATTCATTTTCCGTATGTATCTAAATAATTACTTATTAAGGTTATAAACAGGTCCGTCCGTACTGGTTGACAGTTCGCGCGCTTATGAGCCCGACCATGTGTGGCCAGTATATTTGCGTATTTGCCTATTTGTCTCCTTTGATGTGCCTTAAAAAACCGACAGACGATCGGTAAGCCGTATTTGTTATTGGCTATATTTGCCAAATAGGCAAATACGGCAATAATTATGGCAAATATACTCTCCACACATGGAAGTTATTTGTCGAATACCCCAAATACGCAAATACAAATAGCCATGTGAAGTGCCACCATTACATAGTCCTTAACATTAATCCTCAACTTTACCATATATTTATTTCAAAATTAATGCTGCAATACTTTCGGCATAACGGAGGATCTTGCTAAGCCATTTGAGTTTATATTTCCCCTTAAGTCTTTATGTAGGCCTTATCAGCGGTGACGTGGTTCTATTTATAGTAACAGCTAATGCTTTTTGTCGTTGAAAGCGACTACTTTAACTTGAAACGCTCTAAAACTACGCGATCACTATGCGAATGTCGTGAATTATGGATTCGTAATGGTTTTGAATGATTGTATTTCATTCGTGTAGATATACGTGGTAGAGCCACGCTGCAGCTATGTATATTATGGTTGTAGTACGAATAAGTCGGCTCGACCGGGGAAGGACCACGCTCTCTCAGAATATCGGCGTAAATTAGCAGCTTAATTTCTTATGATGAGTGTAGAGGTAGAGATCCGGAAATCGTTTTTCACTGGAAACGAGGCATTCCATCTTAGTCCTCAGGGGTGAAAAAGCATCTGAATAGAATAGAATATCTATGGGCCACAGCATCCACTTACCTATTCTCTAAAAAAAGACGGATTAAATTTTGAATACGAACACAGGCCGGTTTATCGATTTGTGACTTCAATCGGCGATTTACGACGGAAAGAGACGAACCGTTACTCCATACGAATTTGTCTTATGTGTTTGCGTGATTGATTATTGTTGTTCATTAAGCAGCGTGCGTGCTGTTCTGGCTGATTGGCCGCGGTCTTCGCGGCTGTACGGTCACGGTATGTTGGCTGCGCAGTCCGCAGAGGAAATGCACCTGCGTATCAATTCGCATAGGCGTCTCTATTTACGGTACCAATGGTATTTAGGACAAATGGAAGTGTATGTTTGACCTATTCGAGCGTAATTACACAAGATGAGTTATGCGGCGACTAAACAAAATGATTGTGTTGTAACTGTTAGTGAGTTTATATTATAAACTTGGTAAATAAAACTTGAATTCTTGATTCCTACTCACAATGGCAATTTGCATTTTATACCGTTATGTTATGTTATCTCGATGTAATGATTATGTATTGTTTGACAAACATAACGATTTCCTTATTAAAATATGATTTTCTAATGTGCGGTTACGTTAATTGTCTTTTACCGGTAATTGTCTTTTTTTGTTCTAATTTTAGATTTAGGGCTTGAGAAAAACCGACCTGTGTACTGTTGTGAATCACAGCTAACACGAGCATTTAGGATGATCTGACGTTAGATGAAGAAAATATTCTAAACAGTAGGAACAGACACTAATGTACCCTAACTTTAATATGTAATGAAAATGTTTGTGTCATATATAGCAAGCGGACTCGGTCATATTGATAGGCCTTGCATTTCCTGAAGCACATACCATAATTGTTATTCAGTAGTCTAAACGTTTGCGTGTAGCGTTGTTTTTCCTGAAAGAAAAGTGGTTTGTTTATCATATTTATACAAACGCATTACCATCTTAGGCTTAGTGTTGATTGTAAGCTATCGAAGATAGGTCGTCAATGACGATTCGGTTTCACTTCAGTTGTTCAGTTTCAAGTTAATTTAGCTC